GGTGTATTAAATCGTGGAATGATGAGAGGGGCTACAGGGAGCTAAGCTAACGGGGAGATCAAACTATTTTGTTTTTGCGACTTAATTTTTTTAGTACAATTTCTGATGAAATTAATATTTTTAATTTTGGTTTCTATTATATTTTTACATATTTTAAATTTTTTAAAATTTAATTTTACACTTTTTTTTATAATTTTTTAATAGTTGAGGCAGTTAATTTTAAGATGGGGCTAGATCGGTCGGATGATGAAGGGGAACTTTCCGCAGCAGTTCGTTGCGGGCAGTGCAAGGAAGCTATATTATTTTATTTATATATTATTTTTATATCCGGTACTCGAAGAGTAAATAGGGCATATTGTATTTGTGGGGAATAACGTTTGTATGTAACGCACAGAAGGAAGCGTTTCCGACCCCATAATTTATATATATTCTTGATGAGCATCAATAGCCGAATCGATAGAGCCATGTCTGTCTGTCCATCTGTCCGTCTGTCCGTTTTGTTTGTCGGCTCGTTCTCAGAGACTATAGAAGCTAGAGCCACCATATTTTGGCTCCGGACTGCTGTATGCTCACACTGAAACCAGTGTATTTCAAAAATGAGCCACGCCCCCTTCCGCCCCCGCAAAAGGGCGAAAACCTCCCAACAGCTTTGAAGATAAAAGAAAACTAAAAACTAAAAACGAAAACTATCAGATCACCCAATTGGGATCCGATCGGATCATTATTATAGCCACAAAGGAGAAATAAATTTCCTGTGGCTAAACCCACCCTGTCCAGCAGCTTTTGTTGCTCTTTTCACATTCTCTCATTCACACTCTGCCTCTGCCCTCCCCCTGGCGTTGACTCTTCCGACTTTTAACCAAGACTAGGTTTTTAACGCTCTGTATTAGAAAAAGAGTGACCATCAAAGTTGCGTACAAGATGGCGTCGTAGATGGCGTCACTTTCGAAAAATTTTCTGTGAAACCTATCGGTCATTATTGCACAGAATGTGCAGACCATTTTAAATATCTCATAAATTGGAAAATATTAACTGATCCAATTTGTTTGATGCATTTTATTTAGTAGGCTCTTACTACGTGTTCTGTAATGTGAACGATATCTAGTGGTTGGCGATGTCTTCTACATCTAGATGTAGTCCTGAGTGCCGGGTATAAAAATTGTGACGCGTAAGATCGTCTCACACGTCCCTTCTCGTTTTGTGCATTTAATTATATTTCCTTTTGCTTCTCTGCCTTCTATTGATATAAAAATCGTTACATTTAGTTTATTTTAAGCAAAATTTATTGCGGGGTAACATTTATGGGAATTGATTTTTGTATGTGAAATTTAGAATTAATGTTTATTAGAGTTAAATAAATATTTATAATGTTTGAGTAAAGTATAAGTGTTTGATCTCCTACAGCAAGCCCCTGTAGGCCCCTCGAAGACAAAGGGGTCTTGAAATTAGTATATTTATTTTTGGCGAATTCAAGACCAAGGTAGGGTGGGCGTAGATGTGCCTTGCAAACATCTGAGGTATGCTGTCCCTTGTCCGTTTTACACCTATAGTTATTGTCTTCCGTTTTAGACGTTGTACTCTTCCGTCCGGTTTATGGCTTTTTGTGTGCACGTTTCATTTTTTATAAAGTAATAATAAGGTAGGCCCTAACTTGGACAAGAACACCACACTCGTAGCCGACGAGCCAGCAGCCGGAACACATATAAGCGTGCCGTCCAAGAGCTACTAATAACATCTTGCCTATACATGAGTTATCCGTTATAATTGTATCTTTCCCTTCTTTTTTGTACATATATAATTAGTTTGTTTTTATTCCTATTCTATAATTATCAGATAATTGTTAATTGAAATAAATATATTATAGATGCATTCATCAGCTTTAAAGAATGGCTAAGTTCACTACAACCAGATGTAAGATCCATAATTTATGTGGAAAAGAAAATGGCACCTCTAACAAAAGCGTAAAACAAAAATACCAGATTTTAAAAATTGTTAAAAAAAAGTTCTACGATAGAAAAAAAAACATAGTTCTTAAAAAAAATTGTAACCCCTCAGTCTATCAGAAAATGACGCTAAGGTTCCAGGTGGGAACAAAAATTTGACATTTGACTCAATCGACCCGGCTATTGATGCTGATCAAGAATATATATATACTTTATGGGATCGTAAACGTTTCCTTCTGTGCGTTACATACATTCACTTTGTGCACAAATACAATATACCCTATTTACTCTTCGAGTACCGAGTATAAAAATTAAGTTTGGTTCCTTGAGGTTTCGGGTAGTCGAATACTAGCTATTCGACCGGAAAATTCCTAGAGTCTATGCATGCAAAGCAATAAGCACGCATTTTGAATTGTTACCTCAGATTGTCCGACGAGCTTGCACGAATTGAATAGAGCCCTGTACCCTTTGAGTAACAGGCATAGTATTCCGCCATTCTAAGTTAGTATTCAAATCTAAAAACAAAACTAGTTGTAATTAAGTCCTTTTTATTCATATTTAATAATATTTTTTTAAATGTTAGCAAAACAATGCAAAAATTATAAGAAACATATTTATAAACTATAATGGTTTGGATTTGTGCTAATTTGATAAAAAAGTGCCTGTTTGATACATTTATTCGTGCTTGCAAATGATGCCTGCCAAGTATTTACGCGTGTAGAGATATCTTCTTTCGAATATTTTAATATATCCTTTACATAAGTACAAGCAATTGTAATGTTAACATCTCTGCAAACAGCAATTATAGTTACTTAATATTTAAAATTTTTCTTATTTAATTGATTTTGGGATGGGGTTTCAGCTTCTGCCGATTATTCTTTCACGAAGTTTATGTCCATCACAAAACAATAGTTCAAGGGGCAAGTANTTAAAACCAGATGTAAGATCTATAATTTATGTGGAAAAGAAAATGGCACCTCTAACAAAAGCGTGAAACAAAAATACCAGATTTTAAAAATTGTTAAAAAAATATTCTACGATAGAAAAAGAAAACATAGTTCTTGAGTTCCTTGAGGTTTCGGGTAGTCGAATACTAGCTATTCGACCGGAAAATTCCTAGAGTCTATGCATGCAAAGCAATAAGCACGCATTTTGAATTGTTACCTCAGATTGTCCGACGAGCTTGCACGAATTGAATAGAGCCCTGTACCCTTTGAGTAACAGGCATAGTATTCCGCCATTCTAAGTTAGTATTCAAATCTAAAAACAAAACTAGTTGTAATTAAGTCCTTTTTATTCATATTTAATAATATTTTTTTAAATGTTAGCAAAACAATGCAAAAATTATAAGAAACATATTTATAAACTATAATGGTTTGGATTTGTGCTAATTTGATAAAAAAGTGCCTGTTTGATACATTTATTCGTGCTTGCAAATGATGCCTGCCAAGTATTTACGCGTGTAGAGATATCTTCTTTCGAATATTTTAATATATCCTTTACATAAGTACAAGCAATTGTAATGTTAACATCTCTGCAAACAGCAATTATAGTTACTTAATATTTAAAATTTTTCTTATTTAATTGATTTTGGGATGGGGTTTCAGCTTCTGCCGATTATTCTTTCACGATGTTTATGTCCATCACAAAACAATTGTTCAAGGGGCAAGTATGGGCTGATTTCTTGTATGTACATATGTATGTATGTACATATGTATGTATGTATTTATTATACATATTTATATATATTATTTATATTTATATATTTTATATATATTTATATCTTAACAGTTTCTATTGTTGTCTACTCGACAAAACAAAACTTTTTTCCTCAAGGAACCAAAACGACTTTTCTGATACAATTCGGGCATTAACACTTCTTAAAGAAATATGGTTTTCTTGTATTTTTTAAGAATTTTTAATGTCTTGTATTTTTTTGAAGGTTTTCTCAGAGGTAGCGGTTTTTTTAATACCCGGTACTCAAAGCGTAAGTAGGGTATATTGTGCACATTATATATATTTGTTATATTATTTATATTTTATTTATATTATTATATATTTTTATTTATATATTTGTGCACAAAGTAAATGTGTGTAACGCACAGAAGGAAAAGTTTCCGACCCCATAAAGTATATATATTCTTGATCAGTATCAATAGCCGAGTCAATTGAGCCATGTCTGTCTGTCCGTCCGTCTGTTCGTTTGTCCGTCCGTCCGTCTGTCCGTCCGTCCTTCTGTCCGTCCTTATGAGAGCCTAGTACCTACTCGGCCATAACCGATGCCACATCCAAAGGCTATCACAATAGCAGGACATGTGAAGACTGAATTAGAAAAATAACTAAGGCGGCGCTCTTGGGAACTGCAGTCAATTTTGAAATTAGTTGTCGGTTATTAAAAGCGGTTCGCATGTGGTCGCAACTGTGTTTGTAACAACTTGTAGGCTTGAAAGGTACATAGCTGATTCTTACTTTGTTTTGTAGTGATTTGAAATTCAAAGATCTTTTAATCCTATTTGACTACATTTTTAAAGTTATTCTACTATTGGTTCTTGTTTGTTGCTTGCTTACGAGTATTTCGTCTCAATTAAATACAAATGTATGTACGTATTCGATCATGTTTGGTTGTATTATTTTTGCGAACTTGTTTCGTAACATTTGGGGGGCTATTTGTATAAGTATTCTGCCTATAAATTCGCTCATACATATGTATCTATGTAAATACATGTAACTTATTTCCATTTCTGTATTTTAATGGCTAGTTCAAATATTTATGTTTTGTAAAATTTGCTAGTGCAAACGCCTTACAATAAAACATAATGCGCTTAACATACATACATACTACTTTATGGTATAGCCCACGTTTCAGAGCGGGAATATATTTAAAAAATTGTTTTGATATACATACATACAGCGTGTAAGTGTTAGGTGTATTTATATACATAAATATTTATTATTTAATTTTTAACTGTAGGCATTGTTTTTATACAATTCTGTGAACTTTTTGTTTTTTTTTTTTTAATTCAAAAGAAATAAATTTGAATTTTCCGATGAAATTGATTTGAGTAAAGTTTGCCTCTTTTAAATTTTGCTTCTTCTGTGTGTGTGGAATTTTGATTTTTATCATTTTTGCATCAACAAAACTAGACTTCTCAAAACAAAAAGAGAGTATTTTTTGGGTTGTATTGGTGGGTACTTTTGGGCTGTACTTGGGATTACATAATGCTAAAATATTTCGATCTGCCGCAGCTCGAGACAACACATAATACATATCCATGCGTACTTGGTTTACATCAGAATTCTTTAAATTTACAAAATTGATTTTCTTGGTTGAGTTTATGCTTCATTTGTATTGTCTGCATCTGTATCCGTTTCTGAGCTGCAGTACCTGTTTGATTTTGAATATTCGTGCGTGTCGTATGCTTATCGGTTTAATTACTAAATTCTACATCAGTCGTTTGGCACGCACGTCACGCGAATAGCGTTCGTTTCGGAACAACCAAGTGAAAATGGTCACCAGGTGTTTGTGCTGGCAGGAGAATAGGCTGATTTCTTTTTGGTTTAGGCTCCAGTTGGCTGCTGCGGGTTTACAGGGCCTTTCCCATTCCAATGCATTGTCGTGTTTATCGTCAAGCTAAACCTCGGTGCCATCCTCGCCCTCGTCGTCAAACAGCTGACTTGTACTGCCCTGCCCCCTGCGCGTCGCCGTCACGGACATCTTCTTCTTGGGCTTCGGTGGTGGCCTTGGTGGTATCTTTGCAATCTTCGGTGAAGCGGAGTTGGCGACGCTGGAGTGAGTGGGGGACCCTGATGCCACCATCGAGGAAGAAAAACAGGTGGAGTTACCCAGGCCAGCTGCACTAATACTGGCACCCGGAATTATAGCAATCCCATGGTTTTTTCCCCCGGATAGAGACTCTGTTTCTGAGGGATACATGTGTGGTTGTTGATGCTGCCGTTGCATATGTTGCTGCTGTTGCTGGATCAGCTCGTGAATGGGTTCGTAGATCTTGGCCCCATTCGCCGCAGAGACCACTGACGTAAGACTGGGAGTGGCGGGAAGGGGACGATCGCGCATCGAGTACAACTGCTGTGCTCCCTGGGCTCCNGCAGCTCGAGACAACACATAATACATATCCATGCGTACTTGGTTTCCATCAGAATTCTTTAAATTTACAAAATTGATTTTCTTGGTTGAGTTTATGCTTCATTTGTATTGTCTGCATCTGTATCTGTTTCTGAGCTGCAGTACCTGTTTGATTTTGAATATTCGTGCGTGTCGTATGCTTATCGGTTTAATTACTAAATTCTACATCAGTCGTTTGGCACGCACGTCACGCGAATAGCGTTCATTTCGGAACAACCAAGTGAAAATGGTCACCAGGTGTTTGTGCTGGCAGGAGAATAGGCTGATTTATTTTTGGTTTAGGCTCCAGTTGGCTGCTGCGGGTTTACAGGGCCTTTCCCATTCCAATGCATTGTCGTGTTTATCGTCAAGCTAAACCTCGGTGCCATCCTCGCCCTCGTCGTCAAACAGCTGACTTGTACTGCCCTGCCCCCTGCGCGTCGCCGTCACGGACATCTTCTTCTTGGGCTTCGGTGGTGGCCTTGGTGGTATCTTTGCAATCTTCGGTGAAGCGGAGTTGGCGACGCTGGAGTGAGTGGGGGACCCTGATGCCACCATCGAGGAAGAAAAACAGGTGGAGTTACCCAGGCCAGCTGCACTAATACTGGCACCCGGAATTATAGCAATCCCATGGTTTTTTCCCCCGGATAGAGACTCTGTTTCTGAGGGATACATGTGTGGTTGTTGATGCTGCCGTTGCATATGTTGCTGCTGTTGCTGGATCAGCTCGTGAATGGGTTCGTAGATCTTGGTCCCATTCGCCGCAGAGACCACTGACGTAAGACTGGGAGTGGCGGGAAGGGGACGATCGCGCATCGAGTACAACTGCTGTGCTCCCTGGGCTCCAAGAGCCTTGGGTAGATTTAGCGTGGAGTTCCCCCCGGCAGTGGTGCGTAGCCCTAGGTTGTCATAGACGGGCTCGGCCTGCAGCTCCGCTGTGGTCTCTGTTCCCGTCTCGCTCGGGTTGGGCGAAGTAGGCGACTGAAAGTCGCTAGCTGTGTTCCAGGGTATGTTGATGCTCCCGACGTGCTGGGAGCCCAACTGGGAATACGTGGCTTTCGCGGAATGGTCATGTATCCCTGTTTCATTACCACGGCCGTGGTCGGCGAGTATACTACAGGGGCTGGAAGGAACGGGGACGCAGCGGCCTGCTGGTGGTGAAGAGCGGCAGCTATTTGCTGGTGCTGCCGCGAGTTGTTGGAAGCAATTAGCGCCAGGTTACGTGCCTTGGGATGCTGCAGCGTCATGAAGCCGTTTGTGGCCGCCGATATGGTGGTAGTTCCGTAGATGCCGTGCGGCGTCATGTGTGCGTATACGGGGCTAGCTAGTGGTGCCGAGCGTATTCCGTAAAGGACTTGATCCGGTGTGTTGGACTGGGATGACTGCATGGAAGGGGAGGTGGGTGGAACGCGGGCCGGGAAAGATGGCAGATCCGGAGGCAGACTGTTGCCATAGGCGTCGTCTACGTAGGTGTGCCTGGAGCGGGGAGTGGCCGTCTTGTCCGACAATGTCACCGAATGCGTCTCATCTTCCTGCAAATGATTTGATACTATATGAATATAGAATATGTTATATTTTTCTTCAGCAGATTTTGTTAATTATTTTAATATCTTATGAGCAACGCGTATTTCTGTCTTTTTTTCCCTAACACTACAGTTACTTTTTTTTTAATAGTACAGAACTTGTTTAAGCTTTTTTTTACCAATTACAAAATAGTTAATTAAGTTAAATAAAAAGCTTTTTATACCCGGTACTCGAAGGGTAAATAAGGTATATTGTATTTGTGCACAAAGTGGGTGTACACGAAAGCAAACGTTTCCGACCCCATTAAGAATATATATTCTTGATCAGCATCACTAGCCGAGTCGATTGAGCCATGTCTTTCTGTCCGTCTGTCCGTCCGTCCGTCTGTCCTTCTTGTTTGTCGGCTAGTTCTCAGAGACTATAAGAGCTAGAGCCAACAAATTTTGGCTTCAGACTGCTGAATGCTCACACTGATAATAGTGTATTCAAAAAAATTAGCCCGCCCCCTTCCGCCCTCGCAAAAAGGCGAAAAACCTCTCAAAGCTACAATTTTGAAGATAAAAGAAAATTAAAACGCCATTACGTTGGGAATGCCCATATCTATCAGATCACCAATTGGAATCCGATTGGATAATTATTATAGCCACAATGAAGAAATTAATTTGCAGGTGCTTAACCCACCCTGTCCCGCTGCTTTTGTTGTTTTTTCACATTCTCTCATTCACACTCTGCTTCTGCGGTGTGTGGCTTCTGCCTCTGCCGCGTCTCTGCTTCTTCCGTGGATCTGCAGTGTGAGGCTCTAGGGGAGGGGGGCGAGCGAAAATATCGTGTTGGCGTGAGAAGTTATGTAGGTGTAGATGAAGATGTGAGGCGTAGAAAAAATGTAAAATGCCAAAAGCCGAAAAGAGGTGGCAAGGTGGAATAATTTGTGGGCCCTTTGGATATCAATTGTGAAGAAGCGTACGCTCCCCACATTTTTTTGTAACGGGACTGAGGAGCCACCGACTCCGAAGCTGAGCCGGCAGAGGACCGACGGAGAGAACAGGGAACGCCGGCAGAAAACGAGCAGAACAGAATCCAAGAGACCGGCTGGAAACGGGAGTACAAAAATTGGATGGCGAGAGCAGTAGTAGACGTGAGTAGACGTGTCCGCGGACAAATAAAAGTTAAGGTTAAAAAAGTGCAGTGCACCATGTGTGATCGAGGAACCAAGAGGAAGCAAGCGGAATAAGGCGGCTGGCTATAAGGACTCACAACGGACACATCGAAATCTTGTGTGCGACTACTAACTACTCGTTGTGAAGCTAGATCACATTGACAAGCTGAAAGGACAGTTTAAGACTTTGCACAACAAGCTCAAGGAATTTGACCAAAATTAGATGCATAGTGGTTTGTCTGACAATTTCGAAACACTTGCCAGTACGCTTATAGCTTCAATTATGCTGGAAATCGCTGGTATAAGTGGAAGGATGCGGGGTACATTTTTTAAATAAAATTGTAACAGTGTGAGCATACAGAAGTCTGGATGCAAAATTTGGTGGCTCTAGCATTTATAGTCTCTGAGTTTCAGGTGCTCAACAAGACGGACGGACAGACGGACAGACAGACAGGGCTCAATCGACTCGGCTATTGATGGTGATCAAGAATATATACACTTTATGGGGTCGGAAACGATTCCTTCTGTGTGTTACATACATTAACTTGGTGCACAAATACAATATACCCTATTTACCCTTCGAGTACCGGGTATAAAAAAAGAGTTTTGTGTTATTCCCCATATTTTAAGGAGTCTTTCCTTTCTAAAAATGTGCTTAAAGTTTCCTTAAAGTTAAAAAAGTGAGTTGGCAACTATTTGAAAAGTGCTTATGATAGTGGTGCTATTATTTTTTTCACAATGTAGTCCCTTCTCGTTTTGAAAGGCTCTTAAGTTATTTAAGAAACGTAAGTAAAGCTGGTACAATTTGGAGAATAAAATAATAGCACCACTTTTGAAAAATGGATTTAAAATGTAAAAAATGACCAACGAGTAACGAATTTCTTAGTTAACACTTTTAAACTATTAATTCCAAATCTATATTTTTCATTCTGTATTTAGATCAGTGTCCTATTTTGGCAATAACAGCTGCGCAGCGTCTTGGCATGGAATCCACTAAGTCCCGGTGTTTCCGCAACTCCTCGCAACCAGTTCGGAATAAAAATCTCGAAGTAAAAAGCCAAGTGCTGCTGGTTCGACCGAGTCGGAATTCAATCAATTTTAATACTCTCCTTCTTTCAATTTCGCTATTCACCTATTACATGCATGTTCTTCCTCTTTGCTTATCGATATTCACATATTACATGTATGTTCTATAGCACCAAACTTCTGTGAGCATGGCAAAATGCAACAATTCAATATCTTAATGCTACAAATTCATTTTACTTATATCCAAATACTAATTGCTCCCGGCCATAAGCCCTTTGCGCAAATTTGGCGTAAACATACTCCCGGCCTTGGAAGCTCCTTCCAACAATTTTACTCGGTGTCTTCAATCGGTAACGGGCAGATCTTGTGTATGTTGCGCTTGTACAATCCTGATTTGGTTTTGATGGTGACTACACGAACTATACCATCAGTGCCAGGATGAACTTGATGTACACGACCCAGAGCCCATTGTCCTGGGGGTATGTTGTCTTCTCCAATTAAGACCAAAATGTCTGGTTGAATGTTGTTGCATACCATACGAAGACCACTTGCTTCGCTCCTGCAACAACGTCAAATACTCCAGCGACCAGCGTCTCCAAAATGCATGGTGTACTGCGACGATTCTTTTCCATCGATTAGCAGCAGATAACTTCAAAATGTCCTCATCAAATGACTCAGGCATGCAGTTCAATGGTCGACCAATTAAGAAATGACCCGGCGTCAATGCCTCGTAGTCATTACTGTCCGACGAAAGTGGGTGAACCGGTCGTGAGTTCATCACTGCCTCTGCTTGTGCTATCGCCGTGACCAGTTCCTCGTAGTTAAGCGCTGTGCTATTGACACTTCGCACCATCAATTGCTTCGCTACCTTTACTGCGCTCTCCCATAGTCCTCCAAAATGCGGCGATCGAGGTGGGATAAAATGGAAATTGACACCGAGTTGGCTGCACTGATCCACAATTTGGTGCTTGCCACTGTCATTCCAGATCAAATCCGCTATTGCCTTCAGCTCCCGTGAAGCACCAACAAAATTGGTGGCATTGTCACAGAACAGCTCTGCGCTGATCCCACGCCGAGCAAAAAATCGTTTGAGTGCGGCTATAAATGCGTTGGTGCTTAGGTCTGATACAAGCTCTAGATGGCAAGCCTTGCTCAAAAAGCACACAAAAACGCACAGATAAACCTTGATAGGCCGCCGTCCTCTTTGGTTGAAGTGCATCCATAGCGGTCCAGCGTAGTCGAGTCCAGTACGTTCAAAGGCCTTCACTCCTTGCTGCACTCGGCTTGCTGGTAAGGAACCCATAATTTGCGTAGCTAATATTGGACGTTGGCGAAAACATGCAATGCAACTCCTTATCGTGCTGCGAGCTAGTTTTCTAGCATTGATGACCCAAAAACGCTGTCGCACAAAAGCACAGAACGCTTGCGCTCCGACATGCATGTTGCTTCGATGCGTATATTCAAACAATGATTTTACAACAATATGATTATTTGGTAAAAGCATGGGGTGTTTGGTGTTAAATGGTACATTGGCCCTAGACAGCCTGCCACCTACACGAAATATTTCTATACCCTCAGACTGGTCTAGAAACGGGTCAAGTGCTTGCATTTTTGAAGAACTTATAATTTTGCCATTGCGTAATTTTTCGAACTCAGTGTAAAAACTTAAAGCTTGCAAATTGAATACTACATAATTCAAGCCACCTTTTAATTCGAGTGCCGTTAGCTCCTTAGCTCTAGTCGAATCAATCTTTTGTGCAATTTGACGCCAACGATAAACGAAACCAAATACTCTCGTTAGTTTTAAAAAATCCTTAGCATATTTGCTACCTCCTATTATGTCATGTACTATAATCTTTGGACAGGCTAGCAGGCTAAATTTGTTTTTTCGTTCTTCGGGGACCCCCTCTGGACCTTACCATTCCCCAAGTGTCCACTGCTCATCAGGCAACTGCAAGAATTCTGGTCCTTGCCACCACAACGACGAAGCCTTTAGCTGACTTGTGCACAGCCCTCGAGAAACGATATCTGCCGGATTTTGCTTTGATTCTATTTTTTGCCACTCCTGTGCGTTCGAAAGCTCTTGAATTATAGCTACTCTGTTGGCCACAAAGGTTGTCCAACGACTAGCATGCGATGCGATCCAACTCAAAACAATTGTCGAATCTGTAAAGTAATCGACCTTAGAAAATGATTCACGTGTACACCTTTTGATTTTTTCCATAAGCTGCGCTAACAGTCTCGCACCTTCTAATTCTAATCTAGATAGCGATACTACTCGAACAGGTGCAACCTTCGATTTGGCTGCCAACAAATTTGCTGAAATACCTCCACGCTTATCAATGACGCGAACATATACCGCCGCTCCGTAAGCTCTACAAGAGGCATCTGCGAACCCATACAGCTCAACTCTGTCTTCCGATGCATGGACTGGCACTACAGCTCGTGGTAACGAACACTCATGAACAAGTTCCAATTCGCTTCTGTATTTCTGCCATTGTAGCGCATAGCTTGGTGGCAACTCCTCATCCCATTGCTGCTTTAGCAACCACAGTTCTTGCATGAAAGTCTTTCCTAAAATCAAAAGGGGGCTTAGAAATCCCATTGGATCAAACAACAGTGCTAACTCTGATAACACGATACGCTTCGTAATGCTGTCCGAGTTACTTGCGACGTACGCAAATTTAAACTTATCAATCCTCGAAGCCCAAAATATTCCAAGCGTCTTTGCTGTATCTGTTACCTGTAGCTCTAACGGTTCTACTACGTCTGCACGATCTCCATCACAATAGCTGTTAGAGCGCCACTTATGAAGCTCGAATCGCCCCAACTTTAACAACTCGGTAACTTCATGTTTTAATTCCTTTAGCTGCTCGTAAGAGCTCGCTCCAG